AAGCTGCGCCACGTCAAGCCTAGCCAACGCGGGCTTAACTGACTTGAGCTGCGCTCAGGCACGCCAGTCATAGTCGGGCACACCAATATGGGCTCAGATGCAATACGCTATACCGTCGCGACGCAAATCAGATTGAGCACAGGATCGAGAGAGCCAAGATGCGCGAGAGTCGGCAAATCTGACCTACGCACTGTTTGCGTCGGCGCCTAGGCAGGGGACGTCTGCGCTGGCGATGGGATGCCTAGACGGGGGTGCCGCTAGAGCGAATTGCACCACCATGCAAGAGGAGGAACTGGGGGAGGGCGCGGCCGAAAGAGGGGCGGACGGAGCGAGCGGCTCAGGGGGGACGGATCGCTCCCCGAGCGAGCGGCGCGGTCAGCCCCGCTGGCGAGCACGCGGCGGCTGCTGCGTCGGCGGGCCAAGCGGCGGCGGGGCCCGGTGCAGGGATGGAAATCCCGGGCAAATTGCGCGTGGCGAACAGCATCATAACCACATGGCTGCCCAACCCTGGAGCGGGTGCGGGCGGAGCCAGTCGAGGCTGTGGCACCGCCGGCGGGCGGCAGCACCAGTCCTGGGGCAGGCGCGGGTGCCAAGGCCGGCGGCAGCGTGCGTCCGGCAGCGCCATGGCGGCGCGCGAGGGAGGCATCGCTTGCCGTGGTGGCCGGCGGGCCTCGACCGGGGCTGGTTGCACGAGCGGCGAGCCCCCGTACAGACCTGCACTGAAGCGCGAGCTTGTCGCCGAGGTGGTGCAGGGAAAAAGAGACACTCGCGCCTCCCGGCGGGGTAGGGGGGGGCCCGCAGGAGGGGGGGAGGGCGCCACCGCGGGAAGCGACAGCGCGGCACAGAGCAGGTGCAGTCGAACGTGAGAGCAGGGACTCCTCAGCCGGGTGGAGATCCGCAGATGGGGGGCTGACCTAAGCATTTTTTGCGTCGGCGGCTAGGCAGAGTCACTGCGCTGGCGAATGACTCAATCATATGCAGTTGTCTTCGGCGAAGCTGCCTATGAGGGCACAAAGCGTCTGAGAGGTGTGCAGGCATGGGGGGTGGAACCGCATGCGAACCCTCCAATGGAGGCCTTCGGTGGAACTCCGAATGGGGGGGGGGGATACATGTGAGGGGTGCGCCGATATGGGGGTGGAACCGCGTGCGAACCCTGCCACTGCGGCCTTCGGTGGAGCTCCCTGTGGGGGCACGAAACTTTGAAGGGTACGCCAATTTGGGGGTGGAACTGCGTTCGAACCATGCCACTGCGGCCGTTGTTGGATCTCCCGATGGAAGCACCATGAGGGGTGTGCCGAATTGGGGGTGAAACAGAATGCGAGCCCTGCCTCTGGGGCCTTCGGTGGAACTGCGTTTGGGGGCACGAAAGGTGTGAGGAGTGCACCGAAATGGGGGTGGAACCGCATGCGAACCCTGAGACCGCGGCCTTCCGTGGAGCTCCATATGAGACCACGAAGCGTGTGAGGGGTGCGCCGAAGTGGGTGCGGAACCGCATGCGACACCTGCCATTGTAGAATGTTTTGTAGAGTTCCTATGGGGCCACGAAGTGTGTGAGGGGTATGCCGAATGGGCGGTGGAACAGCCTGCGGGCCCTGCCACTGGGGCCTTCGATGGAGCCCCCTACAGGGGCACGAGACGTGAGGAGTGCGCCGAAATTGGGGTGGAATCACATGCTAACCCTGCCACTGGGACATTCGGTGGAACTGCCTATGGGGGCACGAAACGTGTGAGGAATGCGCCGAAAGGGGGGTGGAACCGCATGCGAACCCTGACACCGCGGCCTTCCGTGGAGCTCCATATGAGGCCACGAAGCGTGTGAGGGGTGCGCCAAAATGGGTGTGGAACCTCATGCGACTGCTGTCATTCTAGAATGTTTCGTAGAGTCCCTATGGGGCCACGAAATGTGTGAGGGGTGTGCCGACTTGGCGGTGGAACCGCATGCGGACACTGTCGGGGAGTTAGTTCACTCTGAGGCCACGAAACGTGTGAACCGCATGCGAATCATGCCACTGGGGCCTTCGGTTGAGCTCCCTTTGGGGCCACGAGAGGTGTGAAGGGTAAGCCGAGATGGGAGTGAAACCGCATGCGACCCCCCTCCCCCTCCCTACACGCGGAAATGTGTGGAACACACATGCGAACACTGCCACTACGGCCGTCGGTGGAGCTCCATATGGGGGTACGAAACGTGTAAGGGATGTGCCGACATGGGGGTGGACCCGCATGCGGACACTGCCAAAGGGCCTTCGGGGGAGTTTCCTCTGAGGCCACGAAACGTGTGCGACCCCTGTCACTGGGGCCTTCGGTGGAGCTCCCCATAGGGCCACGAAACGTTGTGTGATGTGTGTGCGTGTGTGTGGCGAAATGGTCGTGCGGAGGGCAGAGGCAAGCATGGGAGGAGAGAGGAGGGGGAAGAGGAAAGGAGGAGAACGTGGGGCACTGCCTCTTTCAAACGAGGACACAGCACCACAGGATGATTGGGGAATAAAGCATTAGCGCTACTACAGCACCTTGAAAGCCTCGCATGAGAATCAGTTCTTGGCGCGCAGGTGGGGGATACGCGAAGCGCCAGGAACTGTTAGATCATATAGGGATGTCGGTGGCCAGCGGCCATGTGAACCCATGCCCACTGGAGCCGCCCTTTGGCAGAAGATTATGTTTCTTCCCACACGTCGGCTTGTGGCGCCAAAAGATCTGCACAACCTACACTCTACCCTCACCCTCCTCCCCCAGCTTATTCCTCGTCCACTGAGAGCGGCTGGCAGTTGGAAACACTGCTATCTTAGCCGTCAGCGCCATCGCCGCCACCAGCTTGCAGGCACGCGCGTGCGAAACGCATGCGCGCGTCTGTCAGATTGCCCGCGCGCGCGAGAGGTATGCGCACCTGCTGGATGTGGTGGCGCAAGCCGGTGGTGGAAACCCCAGCGAACGTCGACCTACCTTTAGGCAGAGGTTGATGCTTCTGGTAACAAAGTGAAGGAGACAGACCACAACCAGTCAACTGCGATATGGAACATCTGCTGTGGGAACTCGGCCAGGCACGTCCAAGACGCCCACGACTGTGAGAACGGCAGTGCCCGCAGAACAAATCTGACTTAGCAAGGTTGAGAGAAACCACGTTCAGCCAGGGTTCCCCCTCCTTCTCCACCATCCCCCCCAATCCCCTCACCTCCTCCTTGCCTGTTCCCTCTTCACCTCGTACCTTCTACCTCCCCTGCGCGTCCCTCCCTCACCCGTCCCCGCCCCCTCCTCCTCTCCTCATCCTGCCATGTGCACCGTGCCTCCCTCTCCCAGCTCCTCCCCCCTCGCCCCTGCCTTCCTCTCCTCCCTCCCGTGAAGAGAGGGGAGGAGAGCGGGAGGCGCGGGCTCCACAAATGTCCGTGGGCGCGGGGTTCCTCCCGCGTGCGCCCGCGCTGGGCGTCCGCTGGAGGACCCAACGCCCGCGCGTGCACACAAACCTCTCGGAGGTCCGCGCCGGAGCTCTCGGGTCGGCGCCGAGCCCATCGGGCGGCGTGCCTCTCCGCCCCTGGCGAGAGAAGTCCGGCGCGGACCTCCGGAGGCTCGTGTTCGTGTTCGCGTGTGTGTGTGTGTGTGTCCCTGCTTTGCTCCTCGAACCCACTGCTAAAGCTGGGCCTCCCCCCCCCCTTGAGGCAGAGGGCACGAGCAGGTAGAGCTGCTCGCCGTACATCTGCCTCCCAGCACCAGCGGCAGGCGGCGGCGGCAGGGAGGCGGCGGAGCAGAGGAGGGAGAGAGGAGCAGAAGGGAGAGCGGGACGGGCGTGCCCAGGCTCCTACTTAGCACTCCGCCCCCTGCCGCTCCCCCTGCTCATCCCCCGTTCCTCATGATCCTACTTGCCCTCTTATGCTTCCTCCTCCTCCTCCTCCTCCTCCTCCTCCTCCTCCTCCTCCTCCCTCCTCCTCCTCCTCCTCCTCTTCCTCATCTTCCTCCTCCTGTCCTCTTCCTCCTCTTTTTCTTATTTTATTATTTTTCTTGTTTTCTTATTAATGTTACGATTAATACTATGATGCTTCTTTGTCTTATTATTCTTAGGAGGCGGAGGAGGAGGAGGAGGAGGAGGCGGAGGCGGAGGCGGAGGCGAAGGGAAATGAGGAGGGGAAATAGGAGAGGGAGGAGAGGGAGCGGGAGGAGGAGGAGGAGGAGGAAGTGGGATGAAAAGGCAATGAACAGGAGGAGGAGGAGGAGGTGGCAGGACGAGAGGGAGGAACGGCAAGAGACGCGGTCCTGTGGTCAACCGATCCCCTCAGCCTCCCCCCCCCCGACCCGTTGGTTTCTGCAGTTTGCCCGCCACCCCTCCCCAATCGCGCCCGCCTACCTCGTGGCGTCCCCTCTTACTCCCCCGAACCCGCCGGGCTTGGCAATCTTTACCCGGCCACCCCCAGCTCGCCCCCAAGCAGGACTCGACCCCCCCAGCTCCGTGTCTCCGGACACCCCCCCTCTCCGCCAATTTGAGCACCATCTCCGCCCGGCCAACTGGCCCCACGGATATGTCTCTACATCGCCCCCCGCGAGCAAGTTCTGGCACGCTTCCCGCCACCCTTAACATGGCTTCGAATCTGACCCCGAGACCACATAGCCCGGGCGTCCGTATCTCCAGATTAGCACGGACCGTTCATTTCGACCCCATGTCGGCCGCCCACCTCGATCGCACCCCAACGGCCCCAAACACACACACACACACACACACACAACACACACACACACACACACACTCCCTGATTGCATCTGCTTCCAAAACCTTCCAAATCATTAGAATTGGCCCCCCTATTGGCTCCCGACTTACCTGGACCCCACGAGTAACAGGTGCCTCCTTGCAGCGCCACTAGATACCTATGTTCGCCAAGTGCCCACAACCCCATCGACACACCACACCGCCGCTAACCCCGACAACCAAAATCAATGCATCTGCCCCTGTAGAAACATTCGCCCACTTGCAGCTAACCTCATTTCCGCCATGCCCAGCACTAAGCCTCTCGCCGGGTCACACGACCACATTTCATGGTAGTTTGTTTTCGTCGGCATTCGCGGAACAAATCTTGCATGAACCATCGTCCGTCGCCTCCTAGCCAATTCGTGCGACATCTGCCTTCGCATTCGAGCGTGCGGATGCGGGCCCAAACGCAAGCAAGCGCGCGTACTAACGCACTGGCAGATAGGCATGCTGATGCGACTCGTTCGTGACCGATCAGTAAAACGTAGAGTAGAATGGCATAACGCGGCGCTTGCGTATGACGCCTTCGCTTCACGTCGCATGTCAGCAGTAAAAACGGACCTGGTGTGTAAGTATACATATGTGTGTACCTACACATACACAGACACGTACACATACGCATACGCATACGCATACACATACACATACACATACACATACTTATACCTGATCATATACATCAGTATATATACATATACAAATACAAACGTACACTCTTACAGAAGTATAAACATATCCGCAACCGTGCCCTGAGGCACGAGTTCGAATGTCATCAGGTAAGAGGTTGCGAAGAGGTAGGCGTGCTGGTGGCCGTGCATCTGCCGGCGCGCCAGTGGCGCGTAGCCCTTTACAAATTATCTCAACAATTAAGCCGAGAGAGGCCGCCGCGGCCAAGCCTGGCCGAGAGGTCCTTGGCCTAATCCCATAAGCCTCAGCCCCCAATGCATTTTGTTACGAGCCTGGACCCCACCCTAATCTACAATCTGCTGGAGCCCCCGGAGTGCCCCCCGGGTTCCCGGCGTCCTCTCGCATGACTGCTTCGGAACAGAGAGCCAACAGGCCCCATGGACGCCCCAAGAGGGCCCCAAGACGGCCCACGAGGTGCCCCAGACGACCCAGGAGAGCCCCGAAGCGGCCCCGAGTGGGCCCCAGAGGGGGAGCCCGAACCGACGATTCGAGCTGTCCGCCCCAAGATACCCCGAGGAGGCCCCAAGAGGCCGCCCTGAGAGGCTCCCAAGACACGGCCCCAAAGAGGCCTCGAAACTGCCTCTGAGAGGCCCCCGAGAGGCCCCCCACGACATCCCAACGAACATCCCAGAATCGTAGGACCCACAATCCAGGCACGATGACGGAACGGGCCGACAGCAATTATATCCGCCGCCCCCTCTCGGCTCGCCACAGAAACATGCCTGGCATGCTAAATCCTACGGCTTGGTCTGGGTTCTCTTACAAAAGAAATCCCCCCGGGGGCTTCGGTCCACTGCGCCGGCCACCAGGAAGGGACCGGAAACAACCTCTGCGTCCGCAAAAAAGTCCATCACGACGGCTCAAGATGGCCTCTCCGACGGCCAAGATGTCTCAAGATGGACTCCAAGGTGCCTCAAAAACTGCCAAGATGGCCCCAAGAGACCCCAACATGGCCCCGAGGTGCACCCAAGACGGCCCAAGATGACCTCAAGATGGCCTCAAGATGGCATACGACGGCCCAAAAGGTCCGCAAGAGGCCCCCAAGAGGTCTCCAAGAAGGCCCAAGAGGCGCCCCAAAGGGGCCTCCACGAAAGGCCCGAAGAGGCCAAAATCATTGATGTTCGGCCTTGTGTCTTTCATCCTTTGTTTCTTTCGGTCTTCCGACGGCCCGAGACGGTCCAAGAGCCCTAGAAGAGCGCCCCAAGATCGCCCAAGAGGCCTCCAAGATGGCCCCAGAACGGCCCAAGAGGCCCCCAAGACGGCCCCAAGAGGGCCCAAGACGGCCCAAGAGGCTTCCAAAACGCCCATAATAGCCTGCAAGTCGGGCAAAGAGGACCCCGAGAAGCCCCTAAAGTCCCACAAGAGGCCCAAGGAGGCCCTCAAGATGCCTCCAAGAGGCTCCCAGGAAGCGCCCAGGAGGCCCCAAGAGTTCCCCAAAAGGCTCAGAAATGCCCCCTCATCCTCCTCCTCCTCCTCCTCCTCCTCCTCCTCCTCCTCCTCCTCCTCCTCGTCGTCGTCCTCCACCTGATTTTCCCCGCCATCATCCGCAAAGTGTTCCCCGAAGGGTTCCTCAACGGCTGGGGGAACACATGGTCCGATAGCTTGACAGAGCTCTTGCCACAACGCTCGGCCAGATGGGCGATTCCAAAAGGCAGTGGGCAGCAGTGATTCGCCGCAGGCATCTTCGATATGAAAAAGTTGTCCGTCTTACAACCATTGCATTACCGTTCTGTGAAATCCACAATACGTTTCGTGTGCTGGTTGCTGTTGCCCCCGAGTATCGAGCCCGCTCATGTTCTCATGAATGCTAAAATCCGCCGCCGTGCCCCCTGGCAGGTTGAAGCGCGCCCGGCGCGCAGGTCGGACCGACTCGAACGCATACGCGAAGGGAAACAGAATGCTGCGTGAACGGCGCAACTGCCAAAGAAAGCAATGCGACGCCAGTAAGCGAGACCAAACAGCAGGAGCTCGACCACAAGAAACCGTCCACGTGAAACCTGATCCTGAGATCCCAGGAAGTCCCTTGACGTCTGATTGTGGCGTGGGAAAACGCCGCGCTGACCGCAGCAGAACCAGTCAGAACCCGAGAAGCCCAGGGCACCCTGGAGGTAAGCAGGGCGCTTCTTGGCATGGGTTTCCTCTGCGCGTGGTGTTCGCGATGCGCCGTCGACGGCAACACCTTCCCCTTCGCCCTCCGGGTCTTCGCCCCCGGTACCAGTCCGCGGCGCACCTGCTCCTGCACACCCACTTCGGCACCGCCTGCACCCCGGGCTCCGCCCGCTCCGGCCGCCTGAGGCCCCGCCTTCCTGTGCCCTGTCTCCCTGATTGAAGCTGTGCGTAGCCCGCGAGAGGAGGATGAGGAGAGGGAGGTAACAGGAGGAGGAGGAGGGGGAGGAGGAGGAGGAGGAGGAGGAGGAGGAGGAGGAGGAGGAGGTTCGCTCTCGCCCCGCAGATCCAAAAAGGGCTTCCCCGGCGCGCCCCGAGGCAAGAAGACCGCACGGGCAGCGCCCCTCCGCGCTCGGAGAGCGCAGCGCCCTCGCGCGCGCCCCCGGCTCTCTCTCCCCTGCCTCGGGACGTGCGGCGGGCGTCGCAGACGCCGCCGCGCCCGGGTGGCGGACCTTCTCGGAAGCTGGGCGAGGGCTGCTAAAACCGTGGCTGCTAAAACGGCCCTCCCAGAAGGAAAAAACAGCTTCCCGGAATGAGGCGCGGCAGGCGAAACAGTCAACGGACTTCTTCCCGGAAGGACGAAGACAACTTCCCGGAGGTCGATTTTGGCAGCCACCGATTTAGCAGCGCTTGCCCGGCTTCCGACTTTCGCCCCCAGACTTCTTCTCGTCGCCAGAACGTGCTCGCTGCCGAGAGAAAAAAACCCGCTGGCCCTTCCCGAAGTCACCCGGAGTGCAGCGCGGCGCGTCCCCGCGCGCACTTGTTTGCCAGAGGCAAAAGCTCCCCTGGAGCTGCACCCGAACGAGAACAGCGCCCTCGCGCCGCGCTCCGACTTGCGCTCGCCAGGCAAGACCTCTGGAATCAGGTCGGGCATGACCTCCTTACAAGCGGATTGTGGAAGAAAAACAAAGAACTGTTACCACAGAATGAAAAGTAGTCACAAAAAGAATACAAAAAAAGGTCCCCTGACTATGTTTTACCATTCTTGAACCTACCTCCTGCAAAGGGACATGCCCGACTCAACTCTAGAATCAGTTTGCGGTCGACACTTCCCTTCGCGCGTCAATCTTCAGGAATGCCACGCGCGCCTCACCACCCTGCGCCATGCAC